AGATGGAGTCTCACTCCGTCTGTCGCTCAGGCTGGAATGCAGTGGTGAGATCTTGGCTCACCGCAACCTCTGCCTCCCAGGTTCAAGCAACTTTCTGCCTCAGCCTCCCGAGTAGCTGGGATCACAGGCACCCACCACCATGCCCAGCTAATTTTTGTATTTTTAGTAGAGACAGGGTTTCACCATCTTGGCCAGGCTGGTCTTGAACTCCTGACCTCATGATCCACCCGCCTCGGCCTCCCAAAGTGCTGGGATTACGGGCGTGAGACCCCGTGCCTGGCCATAAAAGAACTTCTAAAGAGCAGCTGTAGTCAATTTACAACCAAGCCTTTTCCATAGAACATAACTGATAAGGCGAAAACAAAACAAAAAAAAGCTTGTCAGAAAACTGACAAGAAAGCTAAAAATTACCATTCTTTTCTCAGAAATCTAACAGATCCCTGAGGATTGCTACTTGGAGTTTTTCCTCAGTTTTATTAGTGCTAAACATCTGATTGGCCAGGGATGACCAAACTAAATTCCTACTGAATCCATGAAGGAAGTCAGAAAATAACGGGTGGGGAAAACAGATGTTGGCTAATACTCAAAAGGCATATTTTTACATTTCCTAGACCTTTGAAATGCCTTGGTGACTTACAAACCTAATCTAGGACCAAGAATGAACTTTACTGGAGAGATACAGGCCTTCAGAGGTTAAGGACTCGACTAGTGGTATCACATTAATAACTGGAAATGAGATGCTGCCATTTCCCTTTCTAGCATAAATGACTTCTTTCCCCCGACTCCAGCTTTATTAAGGTGTAAGAGACAAATCGAAATTGTTCATGTTTATGGTATACAACGTGACGTTTTGATATACATATACATACACACACACACACTGCGAATAATGAAGCTAATCAACATAATCCATCACCTCACATACTTTCCTGTGGTGAGAACATTTAAGGTGTACCCTCTTCACAATTTCAAGTACACAATACATGATTATTAACTATAGAACTCATCCACCTTGTCTGACTGAAACTTTGTATCATTTGACCAATATTTCCCTCTATTCCCCACCCCCGTGCCAAGAGTTCGTACTTGCCTTTCTTGAACAAATACTTCAATTACAGTGTTATTTCGAAGCTGTAAAGTTGCTCCTTAAGCAACTTATTGAAGGGAAGCAAGAAGCGTCGATAAAGAAAGCGCTTTTTTTTTTTTCGGATAGGGTTTGGCTGTTGCCCAGGTTGCAGTGCAATGGCACGATGTGGGCTCACAGAAAACACTTATTTTTTTTAACAAATAACAGAAAAAGCAGTGAATATTTTGAAGTCGGATCCTGAACTCTAGGTTATTTAGGTCTGAAACCTGTACTAGGTGGAGGGGTGCAAGAAAGAGTTGATAAAATTACCTTAACCATATGGAAACTCGAAGACTGTCTTACATACTAACCCCTCGCCCCCTGCTTTTCTCAATAAACGAGCCAAACTGCCTGAAGCTAAGGGACTAGTCCGCCGCGCCGGCTCAGACCCACTGTAGCGGACCCGTTGCTGCCCAAAGTCCTGGAGCCTTCGACCAGGCAAGGAGAACACCGCGGAGGAACCCTAAGAGAGGGAACCCTAAAAGAGGGAACCTTGCGAAGAGAAAGAAGGTGGCGGCCTTGCAGGAAACCAGGCCAAAGTACTCTAGCTGGGATTACGGGAGCCGGCGAGGGACCTATTAAGTCAGGGTTCAGACAGCCCAGCTCTGCGTGCAAGCCCTTTCAATTGCCAGTCTTGGGGCGGGCTCACACCTTCTCTAAAAGGCGAACTCACTACACGCCTTGGGTTCCAATCGTCCCTAGCAACCACCCGAGATTTAAGGCGGAAGTACCTCACTGGTCCTCCTCCTCCGGACCAACCATGCCCTGGCGAGGAAGCGCGTTGGCCCAATCACCTCAGCGGGAACTACCATTAGCCAATAGGAAGCAGGCACAGGAGGGCGGGCTAAAGAGGTCGCGGTCGCACGCGCAGTTGGTCTTTGGTACTGTGGCGGTGTGGGTGAGTTGGGTGCCGGTGGAGTGCTGTTGGTCCTCAGAATCCCCGCGTAGCCGCTGCCTCCTGCTGCCCTCGCCATGTTTCTCACCCGGTCTGAGTACGACAGGTCCGTGCGGCTGGGGGACGTCGGGTGGGAATTACGGGTGGGCAGGCCCGGGACCTGGCCGCGCGGCCTGGGTTCTGCCGTGTCATGGGGCTCCCCAGGAACCCGAGATTGGCCGGACCTGGGGATCTCTTGTCCTCCTTAGGCGCCCGCCGTGGTTCCCCAAGCTAGACCACATCGGCGGCACTTGTCCTACCGCTGAGTCACCCCCTGGGTCCTAACTCAGTGCGGAAGCGAGAAGCTCCGACTTGTGCTTGGTAAAGAAGGCGTGAGGAGCCGGTACTCCTAACTTGAACCCGGAGAGGGCCAAGGGTCACCCCTTGCCCCGTTCATCTTTTCGTGCCTAGTATGACTGCCTTAAACAAACAAACAAAAAGTTAAACGTGCCTCCTGGCAGAAAAAGCAACTGGTTTGTAGTAGGGCATGCTGCGGTGTATAGTTTCTGCAGAAGCGCGAACGCAGTCGTAGCTTTGGCTGGATATATTGTCTGGAGTCTGATTTTATAGGAACTGGAATTTAGAGTGGTTTTCAAGAGATTTCTCATCATGCTGATTCCAACTGACCAAAATTTTTCTGACTTTTTAAAAGTTTAAAGCAAATTTTAAAAAACTTGTGGTGTGAAAATGTGCACAATATTAAGTTGTACATATTTATGCTGTAGACATTTTTACTTTCAGTTTCTATTTTCATGAGTTAAGTTTTTACATAGCTACTAAGTTTTTTTTTTAAAGTCAGGGAAGGCAGACATTTTCTTTGTACTGAGTGGTGTCAGAAGCTGCATTTCCTGTCAAGTATATGCTGATCCTGTCAAGTATGTGCTGACCACTTGCAGTTACCACTTTTTCATCTTTTTTTACTGACTCATAGAAGATGTGTGTGAAGTTTTGACATATTTCCCCACTGTCCTACAAAGTGACTTTGTTGGTCGATATTTAACTTCCAGAACATTGAAGAGAATCATCCTCGGGTGACATATAATTTTGAGTTAGGGTGTGTATGATAGAAATTGTTATCCTTATCAGAAATCATTTATTAAATTTTGTGGCAATTTACTTAACATATGTATTGACTGCTTTGTTACTTATTTTTTGTCTTCCCAAGACGGCCTAAAATACATCCCTTTTTATTCTCTTAGTTAATGTGCTTGAGTGCTTGCTGTGAACAAGGCACTGTTCTAGGTGCTGGTGCTACAGCAATGGACAAAATCAAGCTCCTTGCTCTCATATAGGAGACTCTTTTGAGACAGAGTCTCGCTCTGTCGCCCAGGCTGGAGTGCAGTGATGTGATCTTGGCTCACTGCAACCTCCGCCTCCCGGGTTTTGTTTGTTTGTTTGTTCTTGAGACGAGAGAGAGTCTTGCTCTGGCACCAGGCTGCAGTGCAGTGGCATGATCTTGGCTCACTGCAACCTCCGCCACCCGGGTTCAAGTGATTCTCCTGCCTCAGTCTCCCGAGTAGCTGGGACTACAGCACGCGCCACCACGCCCAGCTAATTTTTGTATTTTTCGTAGAGACAGGGATTCACCATGTTGGCCAGGATGGTCTCGATCTCTTGACCTCGTGATCCACCCGCCTTGGCCTCCCAAAGTGCTGGGATTACAGGCATGAGCCACCGCACCTGGCCAGCCTCCTAGGTTTAAGCAATTCTCTGCTTCAGCGTCCTGAGTAGCTGGGATTACAGTCGGTGCTGCCATGCCCGGCTAATTTTTGTATTTTTAGTTGAGACTGGGTTTCCTCATCTTGGCCAGGGTAGTCTTGAACTCCTGACCTCGTGATCCACCTGTCTTGGCCTCCCAAAGTGCTAGGATTACAGGTGAGAGCCACCTCGCCCAGCCTGAGACTCTTAAAGAATTGTTTACAGGCACAGTGTCTCATGCCTGTAATTCCAGCACTTCGGAAGGCCGAGGCAGGATTGCCTGAGCTCAGGAGCTGGAGACCAGCCTGGGCAACATAGTGAGACCTCGTTTCTACTAAACATTAAAAACAAATCAGCCAGGTGTGGTGGTGCTGATCTTGTCTCCAAAAAAAAAAAAAAAATTGTTTATAGAAGTAACTATAGTGTGAGTCAGAAATATATTAATGCCATTAGAGAAATTCAAATCAATACCATTGAGTTTTTGATGAGAGATTGCATGCAATATGAGAGGATCTTGGAAAACTTCACAAAGGAGCTGACATTTAAACTAGGTCCCTTGAAAGAGTAGGAATTTAATAAAGACAGTGAGATCACTAGTTTTGAGTTGGAGGATATGGGATAAATGAAGGAGGGGCAATGGAAAAGCACAAAGCATTTTGGGAAAAGTCCAGTCTGACTGGCACATATGATACATGTATGGGAACAGCAGGAGATAATGGGAAAAACAGGATGCTGCTAGATATTGAATGGTTTTTAATACGAGGCTAAGGAGTTTGGGTCCTAGTTCTGTAGGCAACTGTGTGCTGTTAAATAATAATTGTGTTTTACAGAGATTAATTGTCTGAATTAGGGAAAAGTGAGTCAATACCTGTTAGGCTATTACAATAGTTAGGTGAAAGGTAATGAGGGCATTGAGAAGGAAGAGTGATGTGTTACTGTGGAGGAGGAATTGATATGAATTGGTATGACTTACCACATAGTTGGATATGGGAAAAGATGAGGAGGAATGAGTCAGATCATTCAGAACTTCCTATCTTGGGAACACTGGAAGATCGGAGGTGTTTTAAAATAAAACTGAAATAGGAATGGCAGGAGATGAAGTCAATTTTGCAAGGTGACTGGATTTAAAGAGAGAATATTTCAAACTGAAAAGTGTTAAGTGCTAATGGGATATGCAAGTGGAAATGTTCAGCAAACATTTAAATTAGTTAGGAAAGAGGTAAAACTGGTAATAGAGATTTGGAAGTAACTGGTGCTTAGCACTCTGTCACCCAGGCTGGAGTGCAGTGGTGCCATCTTGGCCCACTGCAATGTCCGCCTCCTGGGTTCAAGTGATTCCCATGCCTCAGTCTTCCAAGTAGCTGGGATTACAGGCGCCTGCCACCACGCCCAGCTAATTTTTGTTTTTTTAGTGGAGGCGGGGTTTCACCACGTTGGCCAGCCTGGTCTCGAACTCCTGACCTCAGCTGATCCGCCCGCCTCGACCTCCCAACGTGCTGGGAGTACAGGCATGAGCCACCACGCCAGGCCAAAAGCACTGCTATATGACATGTTACCTGTTGTAAAGTCCAGACTCCATAAACCACGGATTGCAACCATCTCATTCAATGTTCACATATTTTTTGTGTCCATTGTGTGCTCAAAGCTTTTATAGCTGAGACCATATTTGGTGCCTCTTCTCCGTAGGGATTTCCAGCACACTTGAGCAAGGAAAGGTGGAAAGTGTTAAGTGTTAAGGGGAAGTGTTTTAGAGAGAAAAGCAGTCTGACATGTAATTTATATAAATGTTGAGTGAATTCACTAGGTTAGAATTAGGAACTACATGGATCTCAGTCTGTTAAGATAACAATAGTAATTCATACAAGTAAGTAGAGAAATGTACCTGTGACTAACTTTTACTAAAAAGTAATAATTAGGGCTGGGCGCAGTGGCTCACGCCTGTAATCCCAGCACTTTGGGAGGCTGAGGTGGGCGGATCACTTGAGGTCAGGAGTTTGAGACCAGCCTGGCCAACGTGGTGAAACCCCATCTCTACTAAAAATACAAAAATCAGCTGGGCATGGTGGCGGGCATCTGTAATCCCAGCTATTTGGGAGGCTGAGGCAGGAGAATCGCTTGAACCCAGGAGATGGAGGTTGCAGGGAACCGGAATCGCACCACCGCACTCCAGCTTGGGTGACAGAGCACACTCAGTCTAAAAAAAAAGAAAGAAATTGGGACACGCACGGTGGCTCACACCTGTAATCCCAGCACTTTGGGAGGCTGAGGTGGGTGGATCACGAGGTCAGGAGTTCGAGACCAGCCTGGCCAATATGGTGAAACCTCATCTCTACTAAAAATACAAAAATTAGCTGGGCGTGGTGGCATGCACCTGTAGTCCTAGCTGCTGGGAAGGCTGAGGCAGAATTGTTTGAACCTGGGAGGCAGAGGTTACAGTGAGCCGAGATCGTGCCATTGCACTCCAGCCTGGGCAACAGAGCGAGACTCTGTCTCAAATAAGAAAACAAAAAAGTAATAACTGTGTTTTATAGAGATTGTCTGAATTAGGGGAAAAACACTTCGGACTTGCTCCACGAGTCAATACCTGTTAGGAGACTATTACAAAAGTTAGGTGAACAGTAATGAGGGCATTGAGAATGGAAAGAAGAGTGTTAACCCCAGATATTAACATCATATGCATGTTATTGGAAGAGGATAAGGAAAAATGCACATTTTCTTGAAAATTGGCTGATAGTTTTGGGGCATGAACTTACCAAAGAAACTGGCAAGTCTATTCAGAATGGACCCAGGTTGATTCAGGATTGAGGCAGAAAAGTCACTTGCTCTCATTTCACCAGTTTGGGAAGACTTTCTGGGAGTGGGGCAGCATTCTATATATAGGTTCCATTCCCTTGAGAAACTGTTAATGTACAAAAAATGCTACAGATTGTTGTGGGCGAAGTAGAGAATAATGACAGCATGCATATTCTGTAGCTATCTGAGCTAGTTGTCAAGGAACTTGAATTCAGTGTCTACATGACTAGTTTTTATGAGTATAATTAATAACTTTTTTTAAATTATAGGGGCGTGAATACTTTTTCTCCCGAAGGAAGATTATTTCAAGTGGAGTATGCCATTGAGGCTATCAAGGTATAGTAGCAAGTAGCATAGTTCCTGAAATTTCATGGCTACCTAACATTTTGCTGGCAGAACACTTGGAGTAAATGTGGTCTAACCATTCCTTTAGAAAATGTTCTTACATCCCTTTAGGCAACCACTGTTAACCATTTTTATAACAATTTCAAACCTATTCCTAATATGTATTTTAAAACTTTTTGAGCAGTTAACTGCTTCATAATTATCTTAATAGCTTTTTCTCAGTGGGGGTGGAGGGACATATTTGTGCTTTTGATCCTCTTAGCTATAAAGAGGGATACAGAAGTCCAGAATTAGCACTTGTATTACTTTTTCTGTTTTGTTTTCTTTAGCAAATCATGTATCTGACTACCTTTGTATTCTTTTCTTTTCTTTTCTTTTCTTTTTTTGAGATGGAGTCTCTCTCAGTCGCCCAGGCTGGAGTTCAGTGGCGTGATCTCAGCTGACTGCAACCTCCGCCTCTTGGGTTCAAGTGATTCTCCTGCCTCAGCCTCCCAGTAGCTGGGATTACAGGCATGTGCCACTGCGCCCGGCTAACTTTTTTAAATTTTTAGTAGAGATGGGGTTTTACTACCAGGCTGGTCTCGAACCCTTGACCTCAAATGATTCGCCCGTCTCAGCCTCCCAAAGTGTTGGGATTACAGGCGTGAGCCACCACGTCCAGCCCACCTTTGCGTTCTTGTTGGTAAAGACACCTTAGGGACTACAGAGATTTGTTTTAGTTTTTTTTAGAAACAGGGTCTTACTCTGTCACCCATGCTGGAGTACAGTGACACCGTCTTAGCTCACTGCAGCTTCTAACTCCTGGGCTCAAGTTTTCCTCTTAACCTCCCTAGCAGCTAGGATACAGACGTATGCACCATGCCTGGCTTTTGTGTGTGTGTGTGTGTGTGTGTGGAGATGTGGTCTTGCTATGTTGCCCAAGTTGGTCTCAAACTCCTGGGCCCAAGCAATCCTCCTGCCTCAGCCTCTCAAAGTGTTGGGATTTACAGGTGTGAGCCACCACACCTGGCCTGAACTGGATAATTCTTTGTTGTGGAGGGCCATCTTGTGCATTTTAGGATGTTTATCAATTCCTGGATACTACCCATTAGATGCCGGTAGCACTCTTTCAGTTGTGACAACCAAAAATGTCTCCAGACTTTGCCAAATGTCTGGTGGGGACAAAAGGGCCCCCAATTGAGAATCACTCTTCTAGATTAAAAGTATATATGAATTCTATCCTACTCTGTTCAGTTGGGAATTCAAGATCAGTATACTATAAATGAAACAATTAGAGAACAATTAAGTGCTAAATTAAGTTTTCTGGCAATGGTTGCTGATTATATATTTGTTTGATTTTTAAGGTATACATGCATGTAGTTTCAGAGTCAAAAGGCAAAGTAGTTCTATGAACCTTGTAACAAAAATAGCAATTCTTGAGGCCTGCATCATCTATGTTCAGCTTTTCAGAGGCAACACTTCAAATTGTTTCAGCTGGTAATGTTCTAGGCATGTACCTCCGTATCTCTACAACACAGGTTTATGGTTTTTTTGTTAGGCATTATCCATGGACTTTTCATTATGAAGGATGAAGATTTCTGCCCCAACCCCACACCCCTAGTCCCCACCACACACGATTGTCTTCTGAGGTGGGGATAGGGTGACCCTCTCCATATATATCATGAATATCATAATTTTGTTAGATCATTAGTCAATAGTTACATTAGTATGACTGTAAATGCTTTTCACAGCTGAGCCATTTTGTGTTTTATAATTGTTTTTCTGTTTCTGCACAACATTGTTTTTCTTGGAGTTAATAATTCTCTTTTTAAAAATATTTGCTTAATTTAGGATGATCAATAATGCATCCCAAAGTCTCTCTAGGTTACATGTATCCTCTCAAAACATTCAGGTAAATTAAGTGTCCTATTAAGGATTCCCTTTTTTTTTTTTTTTTTTTTTTGAGACAGGGTCTTGCTCTGTCAGCCAGGCTAGAATGCAGTGGTGCATCTCAGGTCACTGCAGCCTCAATCTCCCAGGCTCAAGTGATCCTCCCGCCTCAGCCCCCAAAGTAGCTGGGACTACAGGTGTGCACAACCATGCCCGGCTTATTTTTTTCTTTTTTTGAGACGGAGTCTCACTCTGTCACCCAGGCTGGAGTGCAGTGGTGCTATCTCAGCCCACTGCAACCTCTGCCTCCCAGGTTCAAGCAATTCTCCTGCCTCAGTCTCCTGAGTAGCTAGGATTACAGGCATGTGCCACCACACCTGGCTAATTTTTGTATTTTTAGTAGAGATGGTGTTTCACCATATTAGTCAGGCTGGTCTCGAACTCCTGACCTTGTGATCCACCTGCCTCGGCCTCCCAGAGTGCCGGGATTGCAGATGTGGGCCACCGCGCCCGGCCTAAATTTTTGTATTTTTTGTAGAGACGGTGTTTCGCTGTGTTGCACAAGCTGGTCTTGAGCTCCTGAGCTCAAGTGATCCGCCCACCTTAGCCTCCCAAAGTGCTGGGATTATGGATATGAGCCACAGTGCCCTATTAAGGATTCTTAATGAAATCTTGGAGCCTTCTAACCTGCTCCAATCTGGACTGGTCATTCTCTGGGCCTCCTGCATAGCTGTGGACTTCATTTTCTGTGAGATCATTCTAGGCGTTCCCTTTAACTCCCTCTTGTGTTAGGCCCCATGTCATCTTTTTTTATTTATTTGCTCAATTTGGTAGAACCCATTTTCCAACAGTATTGTAGAAACTATTTATTTATTTATTTATTTAGAGCTGGAGTTTCGCTCTTGTTGCCCAGGCTGGAGTGCAATGGCGCGATCTTGGCTCACTGCAACCTCCACCTGCCGTGTTCAAGAGATTCTCCTGCCTTAGCCTCCTGAGTAGCTGGGATTACAGGCATGCGCCACCACGCTCAGCTAATTTTGCATTTTTAGTAGAGTTGAGGTTTCTCCATGTTGGTCAGGCTGGTCTCAAGCTCCCGACCTCAGGTGATCCGCCCGCCTCAGCCTCCCAAAGTGCTGGGATTATAGGCATGAGCCACCGCGCCTGGCCAGAAATAATTTTAAATTTCCAACTTCTTTTGTTTCTTTTTGTCTTCTTAGCATCCTGTTCTTGTTTTATGGATGAAATGTCTTATTTTTCTTCAACCATTTTCTAATTTTTCTTGAAAATTTTTTTCCCTGTGGGACATTGTTGCTCATCCCTATAATCCCAGCACTTTGGGAGACTGAGGCAGGAGGACCACTTGAGCCTAGGAGTTCAAGACTAGCCTGGGCAACATAGCCCATGTCTAGAAAAAATTTTAAAAATTAGGCTGGGCAAGGCTCACACCTGTAATCCTAGCACTTTGGGAGGCTGAGGCAGGAGGATTGCTTGAGTCTAGGAGTTCAAGACCAGCATGAGCAACATAGTGAGACCTTGTCTTCACAAAAAATTTTAAAAATTAGCTGAGTGTGGTAGTGTACATCTGTAGTCTTAGCTATTTTGGAGGCTTAGGTGGGAGTATCTCGTAAGCCTGGGAGGTTGGTACTCCATGAGACGTGATTGTGCCACTGCACTCCATCCTGGGCAACAGAGTGAGACCCTGTCTAAAATATTTTTTTTTCCTTTTGAACTGGTCAGATTCTTTAGAGCTATATTTTTCAAACTGTAGGTCTAGGCTTATTAGGAGATACTAAAATAAATTTAGTGGTCATGAGGAGCATTTCTTTTGAGACAGAGTGTCACTCTGTCACCTAGACTGGAGTGCAGTGGTATGATCACAGCTCACTGCAGCCTCAACCTCCCAGGCTCAAGTGACCATGCCACCTCAGCCCCCAGCTACAGGTACGTGCCACTACACCTGGGTAATTTTTTAAAATTTTTCATGGAGGTAAAGTTTTGCCATGTTGCCCAGGCTGGTCTCAAACTCCTGGGCTCAAGTGATCTTCCTGCCTCAGCCTCCCAAAGTGTTAGGATTATAGGCATGAGCCACCACTCCTGGCCCAGATTTCTTTTTTAAGTGAAACAGAGCAGTAGATATCAAAATCCCTTGCCCATAGTAGTGGTGAGTGGTTTTTTTCATGAAATTTTGTTTCTGTTATGTATTTGTATTTATTTGTGGGTTTTAGTTATGAAAGCAAATGTATTCCTTACTGAGGCTTTTGGTCAAAAAGTTTGAAAAACATTGCTGAGAAGAAAACTGCCTCTTCTCATTTCATTCCAGGAGGGTATTTCTGGCTGCTGGCTTCTGAGAGCTGAGTAGGGAAAGAAGGCTGAGGTTCTTAACACTCAGTTTGTAAATTTTTACATATTTACCCTGTTTTCAGTACATGATTCCTGCCTTAGACTGTGCTTGGTGTCCCCAATCGAAAGACCTTCTGTTTTACGGTCTCCAGAGAATAAGCCTGGAGTCTTCTGCAGGAGTGGGGGAGGTGCAGTCATCTAGCTTTACAGCATAGGGGAGGGCATCTGGGAATCTGTTTCTTAAACACTGAACCATCTTGCAGTTTTTAGCTCCTTGTTCATTTCCATTTCCAGAAGTCCTTGTTGCCACCATTTCCTTTTGTGAGGTCCTGTGATCAAAATCAAGTTGTTTCTTTACTTTCTTTACTGCTGGTTTAGGATTTGGATTACTCGGGTATCACTAACCTATCTTCTTTTCAGCTTCAAAGTTTTGTTGCTGTGTCTTGTCCCACTCTCTGTTATAGTGAATTTATGCCTTTTTAAAAGTCCTTTAATCTTACATTAACAGACCTAAGGAAGGCATGGAACAAATGTATGTCATTAGTCTACACCTTTAACTAGAAATGTGAGCCTTCATTTTTATTTATTTATTTTTTGAGATGGGGTCTCACTCTGTTGCCCAGGCTGGAGTACAGTGGCATGATCTTGGCTCACTACAACCTCTGCCTCCTGGGCTCAAGCAGTCCTACCGTTTCAGCCTCCCGCGTAGCTGGGAGTATAGGCATATGCCACCAAGCCTGGCTAATTACTGTATTTTTTATAGAAACAGAGTTTCACCATGTTGCCCAGACTGGTCTCAAACTCCTGGACTCATGCAATCTGCCCACCTCAGCCTCCCAAAGTACTGGGATTACAGGCATGAGCCACTGTGCCCAACCTGAGTACTCATTTTTTTACATAAAAGTTTTTGACAGTTCATCTCCTGTAGTTATGCAGGTATCCACTGATTAAGAAAATACATGCCAAAAAGCTGGTGTACATTTAATAACACTTCTAAATAAAGTCACAACTTAACACATTTGAAAAATAATATATATGTGTGTGAAACGATCATTCAGTCTGCAGACATGTTAAGCAAGTTATACATAAAGATTCATGGGATTCTTTGGAACCCTTTGCAATGCTCACACTTGGCAGTGATTACTTTGTAGAAATAACTGAATATAATGGGAATTCAAAGCACAAAACGTAGTCATGGAAGGCTTTGTGAGTGAAATTTGGATAGAGGAAAGGAAGAATGTATTCCAGGGGAGACAGCATGAGCAGAGGGGTGCAAGGGTAGGAGATAATGTGGCTTGAGCAAGTGGGTTGGGCTATACCTGAGGGATTTTGTTGGAGAATAACGAGTAATGAAGTTGGAAGGGAAAAGTGGCATCAGGATATGAAGGCTCTGGAAGTTTATTTGGATATTATATTATAAGCAGTATAGGGTGATGTTAATTCTTGAGAGAAGAAATATAATGATAATAGCATTTTATTAGATCAGTCAGGCTATAACATGAGAGATACATTGAGAGAGAGATTAAAGATGAGAGAGGTTATTGAAGTAATCTAGGCATGGAATATGAATAACATTTGTTCATCTTTGGCAGGCACCATTTTAAGCATTTTGTAATACATAATATGTTTACCCTTCTTGTTATTATTGTCATCCTCATTTTGCACGAAATGGGCATAGAGGAATAGTAGATGGCTGGGTGTTACATAGAGATAACGAGATGAATTCCAGGTATATTGTGGACTTCTAGCGACCTTAAATAATTAATAGTTTTACACTGTTGGTGGTGATGATGGTGGTGGTTCTTTTTGTCCCTCCCTACCTTCCTTTATTACTTTTTTGGAGGTCAGGTAGGTTGGGGAATATCACCTCTTGGGACAGACCAAGACAGATGTAAGAGGTGAAAAGAGACCGGGTCCAGAAAAGACATTAAGAGTTTTATTACTTTCTTGCCCACTATGTTTAGAACTTTTGAATCCTCCCTCCTCCAAATATTGGCATTAGAGAATGGATTTTTCCAATGTTTGAAAGACTTTGTTGAACTTACTCTTTTGGGGTTCTAGAAATTACCTGGGTAAATTATAAAGAAAACATTAAAAACTTAAAAAAAATTTAAGGGAGAAAAAAAGAACTTTTTTCTGTAAATCAATATTCTTGCTATTGACAGGAATAGTATATTAATTACTTAGAGTATATTAGGGTGCTCCTTCTCTCTGCCTATAAGATGTGGCCAGTTGAAGTTTCTATCATGTGAAGATTTACAGAGAGCTATCTGGTGAGTATGTGAGACAGTTATTTGACCTGTATATGGTAATCATAAGATGTTTCTCTTTAGCTTGGTTCTACAGCCATTGGGATCCAGACATCAGAGGGTGTGTGCCTAGCTGTGGAGAAGAGAATTACTTCCCCACTGATGGAGCCCAGCAGCATTGAGAAAATTGTAGAGATTGATGCTCACATAGGTAAGGAGTGGAGGAAAGCTGTTCTGTAGGACCTGGTCTGGGTTAATTAGTCCTCTGTGATGTTCCAAGGAAGGTTTATGAAATGAACATGTTATCCCCTTGTTCGCTATTATTTTCCAGGCAGTAGGCCAGAATGCGTAAATGTAGGAGTAGGAGGCTGTTGCAGGGCTCATTTATGTTTAACCTACTCCCAGAAGTACCTTTCCCCTCAAATTTAGACTTGGTAAATGTGATGGTTGTTGAAATATGCAAAGGTTGAATCATAGGCCAGCTCCTTACGATGGTTGGGTCTTTACTGATGCATAATATTTGCTCTAGTAGAAGGCCACCAGAGCACAGGATTATGTATGGGAAGCTGGAGTGTCCATTGAGAAAAGAGGAATTTTCAGAGATCTTTGGAGTGACTACAAGTTATAAGAATAATATAGACTTGACTAGATCAGTCTTCCTCCTTTGTTTTCAGATTATCTTTGTATTCCTTGTTCCCTCTACCCACTTTTTTGGTCTTTAATTCCCCTGCCTTGACTTCTGACATCGTTGTATAATAGTATTACAGGGTGAGTAGTTCTAGTTATTTATAGAATGCCATTTTATTTGGCTATCTAAATTTTCTTAACCTGTCTAGTCATCTAATTAATGAAGCATTGGCAAAATAATTAATTGCTTGAAGGCATCAGAACCAAATGCATGGTGACTCTGGAAGCTTGATACTATCTCTTTCATAGATATAGAAACTGAGATTTTATCTTTCAAGATTGGAACATTGTGTCTTCTTTAACTCGAGTCACTTGTCTCTTGAAGGTAGCTCAGTGTCACTACATTCAACAAATTGAGAGCCTACAATGTGCCAGACATTATGCTAGATACCAGGGAATAGAAAGGAATAAGACATAGTCCTTGTTTTCCAGGAGCATACGGTCTAATTGTGGTGGTGGACATGTAAGTAAGTCAATGCAATTAAGTGACAAAAGTATTAAGAAAGACTCTAGTGTGTTCTCAGTAGGAGTACAAAGGAAGAAATAATTAGTTTTGCCTGGAGTCAGTGGTAGTGGGGCTTTCAGAAAAGGGTTCCATGAAAGTGATTTTGAGCTGAGTTTAATTCTGAAAGATAAGGAAGTGTACACAAGGCAAACAAGTGTCTGGGTATAGCAAGGGAGAGCATTCTAGTCAGAGGGAATAGAAATGACTGAAGCCGTCGTGGTGTAAAATATAAAATACCATAGCACAAGCAGTTCTGTGGGACTGGGACACGAACTGCAGCAACAGATGAGTTGGTCAGAGAGCGGAATTCCTTTTTTACCACACCAAAGGCTTCAATGTAATCCTTTTGCAAGGATGGGAAAGGTTTTAAGCAATGAGGTAATAGGATCCCATTACAATTTTAGAAAGGCCATTCTGATAATGATATTAAAGGTAGACTAAAGAGGGCTGAGACTAGAGGCAGGAAGGCCAGTTAAAAACTTGTAATAGTCCAAACAAAGAGATGGTGGAGGTTTTAACTAACACAGTAGCCAGAGAATGGAGAGGAAGATAGAAATTGACAGAACTTGTGATCTGATTGGTTGTGAGGGCCAAGGAAGGAGACGGGGTCTAGAAGGGAAATGAGTGTGTGATATGTCCAAGTAGATATATTAAGGAAGTTATTTGGCTTTATATGTCTGAAACTTGGGAGAGAAACTTAGACTGGAGATTTAGATTTGAGTCATGGTGCGTAAAATTACAGTATAGCCATAATTGTGGTGGCTTGGGCCATCAGGCAAACTCTCTGATATAACTAGTTGTTTTGTGTTTGGTACAGAGAGGCAAAAGGCTTTTGATTTATTCGAGAGTCCTCCACTGTAGTCCATAGTGAGGTGATTTTCTTTTCTCTGTCTCCCAGGTTGGGACATTCGTGTTTGCTTAGTTTGAAAATGTATCATCATCTACAAAGAGTGCTAAAGGGATGTTTAGGGATGTAATATGTGGAAATTCATGTTTGTTTAGCTGCTTTTCTCTGGACTTATTTTTATCATCTGGACTTGTGTGTCATTGTGGATGGTTTTTTGTTTCTAACATCGTTAATACTTGGGTTCAGGGCAGATCATTTCCTATCTAAACTTTCGGGTATAAAATGCCATGGGATAGCTGAATGGCTGCCATGGTTCCACTCCAGAATTTCAGGATTTCCTGAGTGGATGAAAGAGTTCTACAAGGATTTGGCCACTGGGTCACTGTCGCTTTTACATTGCAGGTTGTGCCATGAGTGGGCTAATTGCTGATGCTAAGACTTTAATTGATAAAGCCAGAGTGGAGACACAGGTAAAATTGGCATTATCTCCCTTTTACCAGGATACTTGAGTTGCTTGTTTAGTGATTGTGTAGCTGCCTGGGCTATACTGCAGGTGTCTGTGTCAATATTAGATGTGGCTCTTGGGAGTAATTTTGGGTAGAATTCCCAGTTAGAACTTTCTGGGGCTTGGAGTTTAGCTGTCCGATCATTGCAGTTTTAAAGAGACTCTGGTCAGTAGTGCTGACAGTGTCTTCCTTTTTTTTTTTGGCTTTGCCTTATATAAAGCATGCATTGTAATGCATTGTTTCCTAATTGACTTTCTGTGGGAGCATCATGGCAGGAGGTGGACATAGTTAAAGGATATTCTCACCTCAACTGCCTTTGTTGCCAGGCTTGCAAATAACAGCCCTCCTCTGGTGAGTAATAACTTGTACCAGCTGACAAATACTGGTCAGGGATACTGTTTTTTTTTAACTTTGTAGCTGCTGCTTGGAGATAGGCTAGTAAGAAAAATATATCTCACGGTAAAATTTTTTGCACTTACTTGCAAGTTTGCTGTCTGTACTTATGTAAGAATAAGTCATTTAACTTAAACATCAACAGAATAAGCTAGAGTCTTTGAGGGAAAGAGGCACTTTTAGTTTTTGACAAGAGTAAACTTGGTGCTTTCAGGGCATATTCCTCTTTTTCAAGGCAATAATTCTCTTGTCTGTCGTTGCTTAGAGTCCTTGTGATAATGTTTATTTCCAGAGCTTTTTCTCTTCCTCTCATGTACTCCCAAGTACTCAGGGTTAATGTTAATTAAGAAAACCACATTTGAGCCTTCAGTTTCCAATTACAGTTTAAAGGAATGTGCGTAGTGAGATGGTGGGCTGCATCAGTGTCCTTATTAGAAGGGTGTACCATGGTTTGCTCTTCTTCTAGAACCACTGGTTCACCTACAATGAGACAATGACAGTGGAGAGTGTGACCCAAGCTGTGTCCAATCTGGCTCTCCAGTTTGGAGAAGAAGATGCAGATCCAGGTGCCATGGTGAGTGTGATACTTGTGTCGAGTTTTTTTATTGTTCTGTGGGACTTAGGACATTTGTCCTGTAAACATAACATTCCCAGCCCCTCTCATTCCTTACTTCATAGCCATTTATCTTAATATCTCTTACCTTTTGGTTCTAGTCTCGTCCCTTTGGAGTAGCATTGTTATTTGGAGGAGTTGATGAGAAAGGACCTCAGCTGTAAGTACCATTTTGTAATTTTCCCCCATGCTTTTGTGGGGAGTTATTTTAATTTGGGGTGGGGACTGAGAAGATTATTGTAGACTATTAGCCAGATATTAGCACACACCTGTAGTCCCAGCTACTTGAAGGCTGAGGCAGGAGGATCTCTTGAGCCCGGGAGTTATTATCCAGGCTGTAGTGAGCTTATGATTATGTCACTGCACTCCAGCCTGGATAACAGAGTCAGACCCCATCTCTTTAAAAAATGTATTTAAAAAAGATTATTGTAAAAAGGGCTGTTGTTAAGTGTGTGTGTGTATATATATATATATGGCTTCTAATACTAAAGTTTAGTGATTCTATGCCGTTTGCCCAAATTTGGGGATTCCATGAAGAATTCCTCTATTGGAACCAGTGCTAATTCTGGAAGGAATTAGAAGTAACTTGTTACTATAGTCAGGGTATGTTTTAGAGCTTTGCTCTGGAATGTTGATCTGATCCTCATCCTCAGATATTTCTAAGATAGGCATAAACAAGTACCATATTTATACATACTATATTTCTGAATCCCTAAGGAAGCTGCTAATTTTCTTAAACACTTTCTAAAATGTCTGGTTTCTCCAGACATAGAACATCTTTTAGATCTGTGCCTCAATATATATATATATTTTTGAGACAGAGTCTCGCTGTGTCACCCAGGCTGGGGTGCAATCGCCGGATCTCAGCTCACTGCAAGCTCCGCCTCCTGGGTTCACGCCATTCTCCTGCCTCAGCCTCCTGAGTAGCTGGGACTACAGGTGCCCACCACCTCGCCCGGCTAGTTTTTTGTATTTTTTAGTAGAGACGGGGTTTCACCGTGTTAGCCAGGATGGTCTCGATCTCCTGACCTCGTGATCCGCCCGTCTCGGCCTCCCAAAGTGCTGGGATTACAGGCTTGAGCCACTGCGCCCGGCCGCCTCAATATTTCAGTGGTGTCTCCTGGCTCCAGGGCCAAGCATTTGTGCTTTGTTTTAGTGAGACATTTGTTACATAAAGTGCCACCACTCCTGAGTATTTTAGTCCTCTTTTTGGGGGTTTTGCAGGTTTCATATGGATCCATCTGGGACCTTTGTACAGTGTGATGCTCGTGCAATTGGCTCTGCTTCAGAGGGCGCCCAAAGCTCCTTGCAAGAAGTTTACCACAAGGTAATTAAGTATTCTCACAACTCTTACTATTTTTTTTAATTCATGGTATAATTGACATATAATAAAATGTGCAAACCTTAAGAGTTCAGTTCTATGAGTTTTGACAATTGCAAAACAAGGTAACACTTTCATCACCGCCAAAAAAATGCTCATCCACATTCCAGTCAATCTCTTTCCCTCCTTTACAACCATGTTTACCACTGTCCATTAGTTTTGTCTGTTCTTATGCTTTGTTATAAATGGAATTAAACAATTAGTCAGTTTGTATCTGTTTTGTTTAACACTGATTTTGAGATCCATTCATGTTGTACCAGTATTTCCATTTGATGGCTGAGTAATATACCGTGGTATGGGGATACCACAATATGTTTATCCTCTATCTCCACAGCTTTACTTAGCGTTTTACAATTGGTTCTTGAAGCAAGTGGGCATTTGGTATTTTCTTTCTGAGATGGGAAGATTTGGTTTTGGGTAACTCATTGGTGTGATTGAAGGCTGCTGTACTTATTCAGGTGGTTCATACGGGGAAGCCTGCTTACATTAGCTCCTAATAATATTGATTTTACATGTGGAGGAAATTAGGTACAAAACAGGGTAAATATGAGTTTTCTAAATCATTAGGCTACCTCTTAGATCATTTGGGCATTGTTCATAGGATATTGCCAATAATATTATCTTCTAAATTAAAAGAGGAATTCAAATGTACACAAGATAAGTCTATCCCTTTCCCCTTCTTCAAAGATTACTTTGGTTGGTGACTTTATTGTGGCTCACAATAAGGTTTTGGGGTTTTTTTCCTGAAAAAGTGTATTCTACTTATTTGCCATTTACTTGAGTTCTGGAGATACTTGTAATGCACCATAGTAAGTAAGATGTTTGACATACTTGCTACATACTTTTTTCAGTGAGATAAAGGGAAAATCTTTGAAGGAAGGAGGGATTGCATATAATTAATAGGCATCTTCTTGCCTTCTTTGTTTCAAGTCTATGACTTTGAAAGAAGCCATCAAGTCTTCACTGATCATCCTCAAACAAGTAATGGAGGAGAAGCTGAATGCAACAAACATTGAGGTACTTTCTGTTTTATTGTTGAATTTTTTTTGTTTGTTTTTTTAAGAGATGAGGTCTGGCTATATTGCCTAGACTAGACTGGTCTTGAACTCATGGGCTCAAGTAGTCCTCCCACCCCAGCCTCTTGAGTAGCTGGGACTATAGGTGCACACACCAGGCCTGGCTAATGTTTTTTAATTTTTTTAGAGATGGGGTCTTGCTATGTTGCCCAGACTGGTCTTAAACTCCTGGCCTCAGGCAGTTCTCCTGCCTTAGCCTCCTAAGTAGCTGGAACTATAGGTGAGAGCCACTGCACCTGGCTGTTTTATTGTTTTTTATTCAGATATTATAGCTGGCATTGCTGAAGACTACATAGATCATAGAAATCACATTTTTGTATATTTAGTTCCTAAGAAATTATTAACAGCCTTTGAATAATAGCTTTAGTAAAGTGGTGCTGGCAAAAGCGAGAATTCAGTGAGTTAAAGAATGAGGCCTGGCGAGGTGGCTCACGCCTGTAATCCCAGCACTTTGGAAGGCCAAGGCAGGCAGATCACTTGAGACCAGCCTGGCCAGCATGGCAAAACCCCATCTCTACCAAAAATACAAAAACTAGCCAGGTGTGGTGGCACACACCTGTAGTCCCAGCTACTAGGGAGGCTGAGGCATGAGAATTGCTTGAACCCAGGATTCGGAAGTTGCAGTGAGCTACTGCACTCCAACCTGGGCGATAGAGGGAGACTCTGTCTCAAAAATAAAATAAACAGAATGAAAGGGAGGTGATGAGTGGAGAAAACAAGAGTATGCTGCTTTCTTAAGAAGTTTGATTTGTGTTGGCAGAAGGTAGCATTCAATAAAAGGATTGTGTCGTTTTAAGGATAGGGAAGTCTTGATAATATAAACAGAGATGAAACTAGCTTATAGAAAAATGTTGAAAGAGCCGGGCGCAGTTGTCTGTAATCCCAGCACTTTGGGAGGCTGAGACAGGTGGATCGCTTGAGGGCAGGAGTTCAAGACCAGCCTGCCCAATATGGTGAAACCTCATCTCTACTAAAAATACAAAAATTAGCCAGGTGTGGTGGTGGATGCCTGTAATCCCAGCTACTTGGGAAGCTGAGGTATGAGAATCGCTTGAACTCAGGATGTGGAGGTTGCAGTGAGCCAAGATTTTACCACTGCACTCCAGCCTGGGTGACAGAACGAGACTCTCTCAAAAAAAAAAAAAAAAAACCTGAAAGAAATAAAAGGAGAGGTTAGGATAGTGATGGAAAAGTTATAGAAGAGGTAAGGGGTGGTACACATGAAAAAGTTGGTTTTGAAAAGTAAAATTCATTCAGCATCATACTGAGTACCCATTATATAGCAGGTATTATGCTGGATGCCCAGGGATACAGACACAGAAAATCCAATTCCTATTTAAGTAGTATACTGTGTAGTGCAGGGAACATATAGATAATAAGAACCAACCTGGGGTGATACTTCTATAATGTCAGTAAGAACAGATTCCCGTATGTGTAACTTAGACTAAAGCATTAGGGAAGCTTCTTGGAAGAGAAGATGTCTGGAAAAGGGAGCAGAAAGGTATTCCAGGAAGAGGGGACAACATGTGCAAAGGGTTCAAGATGTAAAAATAACATTGTGGGTAAAGGAAACTTTGAAGTTTTGTCTGACTGTTGGGTGTGGGATGTATATAAGATGGTGGGGGATGGTAAGGGATGAGACTGGAGAGGTATGGACCAGCTTGGGAATGTCCTTTTTTAGTATGCTAAGAGTAGACAGGAGAAAAGGAAGTAATGACGAGTAAAGATAGGTGGGCTTGGCGGTAAACTGGAGAGATGTCCCACATTTCCCCGGAATTTTCCTAGTGATTGTAAGGTCATCTGCTGAGGGTGGGTGAATGCAACAGTAAAATTGAGAATGGGAAATACTTGGAAAAGTCATTATGGATAGGGAAAAGAGAAGACAGGGAAGAGTAAAAGGATTGCTAGGCCATATTAAAATCCTAACTGAGGCCAGTAATCCCAGCACTTTGGGAAGCCAAGGCAGGCAGATCACGTGAGGCCAGAAGTTCAAGAGCAGCCTGGCCAACATAGTGAAACCCCGGCTTTACTAAAAAAATACAAAAAATTAGCTGGGTGTGGTGAGCTATTCGGGAGGCCGAGGTATGAGAATTGCTTGAACCTGGGAGGTAGAGGTTGCAGTGAGCTAAGATTGCACTCCACCCTGGGCAACAGCACGAAACTTTGTCTCAGAAAATAAATAAAATGTAAAGGCCAACCAAGGCTATAATTATAAATCAGTAATTAAACCAATTAGTACTTACCAGGATATTTGTTGACTACACTCATGAGAAAATGGATGGTTGGATTAATCCGTAGTAGGGGATTGACTAGTTAAGGACAGAAGATTAGAGAACACTGGAGGGTATTGTTGGTGAATGTCTCACCCAAAGAACCAGCTTTCATAGGCTGCTGTGAAAGGTCAGTCTAAGGAGGACTAATATTTGGGAGCCACTGCTCTAGAACCCATCTGCTGTAAGTTCTTAGTCCATTAGTTGTTCCTTGGAGCTCCAGCCTCCCTCCTTTTCCCCTAAGAAAAGGAAAATATCCGGCCGGGCGCGGTGGCTCACGCCTGTAATCCCAGCACTTTGGGAGGCCGAGGCAGGCGGATCACGAGGTCAGGAGATTGAGACCATCCTGGCCAACACGGTGAAACCCCATCTCTACTAAAAATACAAAAAAATTAGCTGGGCATGGTGGCGGGCGCCTCTAGTCCCAGCTACTCCGGAGGCTGAGGCAGGAGAATGGAGTGAACCCGGGAGGCGGAGCTTGCAGTGAGCCGAGATCGTGTCACTGCACTCCAGCCTGGGCGACAGAGCGAGACACTGTCTCAAAAAAAAAAAAAAAAATCCAAGTTACATCTTACATCTTTCTTTTAAAGAAAATCTTTATATATACCTCCTTCTGTCTAGTGTCCTTACTTTTAATGAACTTTTTTGAGATATAATTTACATACAGTAAAATGTACCAATTTTAAGTTTACAATTCAGCAGATGTTGACAAATGTACTACCCCATATCTGTCACCCCAGTCATTATATCGATCCTCCCAAAAAGTTCCCTCATGTCACTTTGTAGTCTCTTCCCCCATATTGATCTACTTTTTGTCACTATAGATTTGTTTTGTGTTCTAGAATTTCATATAAATGTTTTCGTTTGTTTTTTTTAAGAGATGAGGTCTGGCCATATTGCTTAGACTGGTCTTGAACTCATGAGCTCAAGTAGTCCTCCCACCCCAGCCTCTCTAGTGGCTGGGACTACAAGTGCACACACCAGGCCTGGCTAATGTTTTTTAATTTTTTTAGAGATGGGGTCTTGCTGTGTTGCCCAGACTGGTCTTAAACTCCAGGCCTCAGGCAGTTCTCCTGCCTCAGCCTCCTGAGTAGCTGGGACTGTAGGTGACTATAGGGACTATACTTCTTTCACTTGGCACGATTTTGAGATTCACCCATGTTGCATCAATTCTGTTACATTTTATTGCTGAGTGCTATTTCATCCATCCTATTTTTTCACCTTTATTGCCAAGTCTCCTCCAAACAGAACCTGTCTTATCTCCACTGCTTCACCTCTCATTTACTCCTCAATCATTACTATTTGTTTCAGCTTTTATTATTTCCATGAGACTGCTCCTTGGTAAGATAACTCTTATTTGTCAGATTTCATGGTCACTCTTTGGAACTATCATTTGACCTTTTTGAAGCATTCACCTCGAATTTGACGGTTCTAAAATTAAAATCATTATCTTTCTTAAAAACCATTTCATCTTCCCATATTTCTAATTTTGGCTGATGACACCCCCAGTGCACTTGTTATGCACATGAGAAACCTGGAAGACTTTGATTTTCCTTCCCTTTTACTCAAACCATTTCTTTGCTCCCTTACAAATAACTCCCAAGTCAATGTCCCTTCTGCATCCCTACTTCCAGTGCCTTCTTTTGTTCAGGTCCCCATTTTTCCCCTACCTTGTATATTTTCAGAAGCCTCCTAATTAATCTTGCCCTCCTCCATTTCAGTCCATTTTTTCCTCATTGTGCTACTACAGTGGATTTTCTAAGCTACATCTAATCTTAATTGTTCTCCGCTTAAAAAATATTTTCTGGCCGGATATGGTGGCTCACGCCTGTAATCCCACCACTTTGGTAAGGCAAGATTGGTGGATCACTTGAGGCCAGGAGTTCAAGACCAGCCAGACTAGCATGGTGAAAGCCCTGTCTCTAATAAAAATACAAGAAATTAGCTAGGCACGGTGACATGCGCCTATAATCCCAGGTACTAAGGAGGCTGAGGCATGAGAATTGCTTGAACCCAGGAGGCGGAGGTTGCAGTGAGCTGGGATCATGCCACTACACTCCAGAGCAAGACTCTGTCTCAAAAACAAACAAACAAACAAAACTTTTCTGACTTCTGTTGTCTGTGAGATAAATTCCAAAATTCTTTTCATGGCATAATTCACTACTACTTAAGTCATTTGTTTAATCTATTAGAGACTTTGCTAAGCATTTTACATGCAATTACTTCTCTTAATCTTCACAACACTTCTATGAGATAGATATTCCTATTCCGAAAATCTTATTTTACAGAAGAGGAAACTGACTTTGAGAGGGTAGGGCCAACAGGTAAATGGTAGAGTCAGGATTTGAATCCAGGTCTGGTCCTAGGTCTTATACTTTTAACCGCTTTAATGTACTGTCTCCCATGGGCTCTGACCCCCCTGTTCCCTCTTCTTTTCACTTCATATTCCATGTGCAACCTCCACTCTAGCCATACAGAATTACTTTCAATTTTGCAAATACATCATGTTCTTTTGTGGTTCTGCGCATTTGCACATTGTTTCCCTTCCTGTGTTTGATTGTCTGACCCATTCTTGCCATGCTTTAATACATAACTCAAAAGTTGCTTCTCCCTGAAGCCTTCCTGGGCTCCCCCAGATCACTCTTATACATATGCTTAGCTTTATTATAACACTTACCTGACATTGAACACATTTGGCATCTAGCACTTAGTAAATAAGATGGACTTTCTTTCTTTGGATCCTTAGTCACAAGTACATGTAAGTAATACACAGGTGCTTATTAATTAATTATTGGTGAAATAGAGTGAAAGACAATATCTGTTCTACCTGCCTCATAGAAGTGTTTTTTGAAAGTGAGATACTAAATAGAAAATTTTCTTTCATATTATGCAAATAAATTTATTATTATGCAAATGTAAGGGATTATTTTTACTTATCTAGTGATGAGCAACTTCCTGAAAGCAGTCCTTGGCTCAAACTCTATTATTAATGGTATGATTTGCGTTCCAGTTCTTCTGTAGGACTGTTCTCCTCAAGAGTTTTCCCAGTTTCTGCTTTTTAGCCCCTGTAATGTTTTGAGAAGGCTAGCCTGAGTCATGAGTGAAATTCTTTAGGCTGTAACTCTTTAGATTATTGCCCTTGTATTTCTGTGTCCTCACGTCATTGATCATCAAGTAAAGATATACCTTAACAGAAGCAGTAGTAACATTTTTATTTATTTATTTATTTATTTATTTGAGATAGGATCTTACTTTGTTGCCTGGGCTAAAGTGCAGTGGTGCGATCTCAGCTCACTGCAACCTCCACATCCCAGGTTCAAGCAATTCTTGTGCCTCAGCTGGGACTACAGGCACGTGCCACCGTGCCTAACTAATTTTTGTATTTTTAGTAGAGATGGGGTTTTGCCATGTTTGCCAGGCTGGTATCAAACTCCTGACCTCAGGTGATCCACCTGCCCCAGCCTCACAAAGTGCCAGAATTAAAGGAATTACAGGCTACGACGTCTGGCCAAAAGAAGCAGTAATAGTTGTATGTTTAAATATCCTTGGAATGGAACTCATGGTCTATATGGTAAACTAATTGTTTACCTATATTTTGCAAATATATTTGGGACTTTTCTGACATTTCACATAATTGGAGATATATCTTTTAGGAGAATCTAGAGGAGACTACAAGCTTTGAGAGGAGAACATTTTTTTTTTTTTAAGTCTGTTCCCAGGTATCGGGTGTCTTAAAATGTGCAGCAGTCCTTCTGAATTTTACTTATAGATGAGGCAGAGGATACTAAACATCATATAACTGGATTATGCTAATTCTGTCTCGCAACTTTCAAGTTATATTAAATATCAGGACTGAAAATTACTTTAAAATGCCCTACTATCTTTATAATTTTTAAAAAAATTGTTATTAATTAATTTATTGTTTTAGACAGGGCCTCTTTCGGTCACCCAGGCTGGAGTGCAGTGGGATGATCACAACCCACTGCAGCCCTAATCTCCCAGGGTCAAGCAATTCTCCCACCTCAGCCTCCTGAGTATGTGGGACACAGGCATTTGCTATACCCCCTGCTAGTTTTGGGGGGTTTTTTTTTGGTAGACATGGGGTCTCCCTGTGTTGTCCAGACTGGTTTTTGACTCTCGGACTCAGTCCTCCCGCCTCAGTCTCCCAAAGTGCTGGGGTTACAAGCATGAGCTACTGTTTCCAGCCATGTGTTTAATTTAAAAAGTAAAAAAAAAAAAAAAAAAAAGACACTATGAGGAAATGACATGTAAAACACACATCTTTTGAGGCAAATGTGGCACCTGTTGCTCAGTATTGCCTAAAACTGTGGGACACGATCAGCAGAGAGAATGGAAAACCTGGCCATGTTAGTTAAATTTGAAATTAACCATCTGGACTTCCAGTTATTACTGATATCTTCAGCAGTCACAACTGATTTCCTATGCCAGTGTTAATGAAATATTTTCTTGGCCAGTCCTTTTAAAAAACATAACAGGCCAGGTGTAGTAGCTCACGCCTGTAATCCTAGCACTTTGGGAGGCCAAGGTGGGTGGATCACCTGAGGTTGGTTCGAGACCAGCCTGATCAACATGGAGAAACACTGTCTCTACTAAAAATACAAAATTAGCCAGGCGTGGTGGTGCATGTCTGTAATCTCAGCTACAGGGAGGCTGAGGCAGGAAAATCGCTGGAACCTGGGAGGTGGAGGTTGCGGTGAGCCTAGATCATGCCATTGCACTCCAGCCTGGACAACAAGAGTGAAACTCTGTCTCAAAAAACAACAACAACAAACTTTTTTGATAAGTTTTGCCACATAAACAATTTTAGGGAAAACACCTGACAGTAGTTAATGATTATTTGTTGTAGGCAATGGTCTAAGCACGTTACATATATTAACATTTAATCCTCACAACTACTCTGTGAATTTAGCTATTCTTATTGTCCTCATTGTATAGATGAAGAAATAGAGGCACAGAGTGGCCAACTAACCTGAAGTCACACACACAAGCTCAACTTTTAAGTATTTAAATATACTTCAAATATAATTCTAAAGGAGTCTTTAACAGAAAAAAGTACTGACTCCGTGTACTTTGCCGCTGCTTTTGTGATCCCTGTTGAAGTGACTTCAAGAAGTGACAGTGATGCCAGGCATTTGGTTAAGTATGATGTGGTGAGTTAACCTTAAAATAGAAAATTTGGTCAATAAGCATTTTTATTTTGGAGCCAGAGAGCTATTTTAGGGACCTGCTGCCTGGGAAGGCCTTGGGACAGCAGATCCCTTAGTTCCTAATGAATAGCTGCATCACCAACATAGCTTCTCCTGACCATGGTAGGGCCATCTGCAGGGTAACTGAGCCCAGCTTATTAACCCTTCTGTTTTCTTTCCAGCTAGCCACAGTGCAGCCTGGCCAGAATTTCCACATGTTCACAAAGGAAGAACTTGAAGAGGTTATCAAGGACATTTAAGGAAGCCTGATTCTCAGAACTTCTCTGGGACAATTTCAGTTCCTAATAATGTCCGTAAATTTTATTTCCAACTCCTGATCCTTGGAAAATCTCCATTGTATGTGCATTTTTTTAATGATGTCTGTACATAAAGGCAGTTCTGAAATAAAGAAAATTTTAAAATATTTGTTAATAGACTCTTCTCTTCTAATAGTCTTTTTTTCTTTTCTTTTTTCTTTTTTAAAGAGATGAGGTCTCACTATATTGCCCAGGCTGGTTTCGAACTCCTGGGTTCAAGTGATCTTCCCGCCTCTGCCTCCTGAAGTGCTGGGATTATAGGGGAGAGCCACTGCACCCAGCCATTGTAATACAGTCTTTGTTTGAAATGCATATGTTAGTGGGCCAAAAGGATAGCATTATTAATATCCCTATTCTATGAAGATGTCTGTTCTAAAACTGTTTAGTGATGCTCTATAACAGAATCAACTATATCCATTAATCCCTTGGTGTTGATAAATGAACTCTTCCCAGTGGTTAATAGATGTTAGTCCAGCTCTTCCCAGTGGTTAATAGATGTTAACAGCACTGTAAATCCATTTTTGGCCCTGTAATTTCTTGAGCAAACATGTATTTTTGCTGCTTTTCTTATAAGGAGATGCTACTAATTGACTATCAGTGTTTTGAGGTCCTCAAAACACTGATGGTTGGAATAAGCCATCAACAGTGTTGTACCAGTTCTTGGGTCTTGATAGACAATTTGGAAAGAGATTTCCTTGTTTACGAAGTGAAGGACTAAGAATTAAATTAATGACCTTGGCCTTACTGGCAATCAATTACAAATCTCAGCCATATCAGGAAGAGAATTATAAAATTCAGAAGCAGTTTACGTTAGACTTTGGAATGAATGACGAACTCTCCCCATTAGAGCTGCCATCATATGGCTGGTGGAGACTGTTTGAAGAATCATTGTATCTCAGCCTCAAAAATTACCATGGGAAGATGGTATCAGTATCACTATTTGTATCACTATTTAACAGATGAAGAATCTTAGTGCTGTGTGCCCATGGACACACAGAATTAAGCTGTTGGGACTTGGAACAGCTCAGATCTTGTTTCAGATCACCAGCTCTTGTAATAGGGAAATCTGGAGATTTGAAAAGTGCTTGCACTGTTCACAACATGGCTAATCCATATATGGATGATGCAGAATTGATTTAATTCACTAACAGGGACCCCATAATTATTTGCTGGGCTCTGGGTATATTAATGTGTAGGAAGTTGTACTATATGATGTTAATAAATTATGACTATTTGGGTAGGCTGAATTCATACTAAATCCACACTGTAATTCAGCAAAAAACAACAATGTGTTTATATACATTTGGAAACTGCAACGACAGGAAACATTTGGAAGAAAGGGATTTTGCCCTAGAATAACACATAAGGAAAGTAGAGAACTAGTATATTGTTACTCAATGTTCCAGAGACTTCTAGTGATTTTAACACTGTTATTAAGTATAGCATGTTGATTGGGAGATTTGTTTCTCTAAAGATCACTTTGTTTTATTAAATCCTAATAGAAAATACCATTGAAAATCCTATCTCATTTATTCCTGTAACAAATATATTGAGCACCTACCTACTATATGCCAAGAAATGTATTAGCCATCAGGCAGAGAGAGCTGTTCAAATGGTAGATATGATCTGTGCTCCTGTGAAACTTGTAGTGGGGAGAGCCAAACAATAAACAATATTCCCCTTTAACTCTAGGTTAATGCAGAAATGGATAAAGCCAATGTTGCTTTTGGGAGAGGTGAGTCGTGTCTCTGAATCACATGCATTTCATAGGGGGAAAAATGCCCAAATACTAAGGAATAGCTCAGCCTATCTCCATTGGCCTCAGCTTAAATTGTTTTCCCTCCCACTGGCTGGCCAGTGTATTTGTATTTTACCTGGTAAAACAATAAATTTCATACCTTCTATAATTGGCATTCTTCAAAGAGGTAGAACTTTGATTTTTTTGTAGAATATTAAAACAAGCTTTCTTAGGAACAGCAATGGTTTCATGATGTGTAATTGCTTTATGTTATCTTTCTGCTATAGAATGTTTCCTGAAGAAAGGTATGGTTTTTAGTAATAAGATACATTTACTTATTTTAGTCCTGCAAATAAGGTGAAATCTTATGTCCAGTATTTCACAAAGGAGAACTGACAGTGTGACTTTTATATTTAATGTAAATCTCATTAGACAAAAATGAAATATATTTCCTAGGGTTTCCAATTTTAAAAAGTGAAATAGTAAATGTATTCACTCAAACATTTTCTCAGTGCCATATGCAAGTTACCATGTCCTGGAAGCTGATACAGTTTGAGGAAGGAAATATATAACTACTGTAAGCCTGTGATAACTAAAAGCAACATATTAAAAAGTGAAGGTACAGATAATTGCCAACAAATTTAATAGCGTTTAAAAGTGTATTTGGCAATTTCTCCAGGAGGTGGCACTATTGAGTTGTTTTTCTTTTCAGACAGTAAGACAATAGACCATTCATCTTTGTCACCCAAACAAAGAAATATTCCTTTATAACCCCGTTTCCTCCCCCCACCTAATCACATGCTACTGGAACTGACTGTCTTGTGATCTACTCCCATAGTTGGCATAGATTTTAAAATAATCTATTTTTAAAATTAATCTGATAGTAGTTATGGAAAGGAACAAATTGTTCACCAGTTCTCATCAGCTTTATCTTGTCAGTCCAGTAACTGAGAACTTAAAAGACTATTCTAATGATTTTACTATCCTGCTCAGATGGCATTCAAAAACATTTTTCTTCTTACGTCTTAGTATGGTTGTTTTGGGAAAATTTGTAAATTCGTAAGTCTTTTTGTTTGAAAGTTAATGTGACTGGAAGTATTTTAATGTAAATATCGGGTTGGGTGCATTGTATCATTTTGCTCTACAATGACTATACCCTCATTTGAGTTTATGGCTAGTTTATAGTTAAAAGTAATCTTTACTTGCTTTGTAACGATTTGCATATTTTGTATCTATTTGCTACCTTTTCTACTGAACAATTTCTAGCTTTCTAAAGGGATGGAGTCAGTAAGTTTAAGGATTCAGAACTGGTTTTACCTGTGCTACGTGTTGTAGAAGTTGTATGTGCAGCTTCTGCGGTAAAGGGAACAGCGTAGGGGTTTTATTTTATTCATTAGAGGTGGATCGGGGTGCTAATTTAGAGGACATCACATACTGGAACCAAACTTGTCCGAAGCTCTCACTGCAGAGTTAAGGCACTTTGGTAAAATAAATGTGCATCTAGGAAATGGTCATGTGAACAGTAGGCATTGGGTCATTCTCTTGCCCCCTTTTACCTGCCCCTAATGCCTAAGCTACATTCGAAGTCCTGGAAAACCTGTAAGTAATTCCGCCTTTGGCCTACCTCCCCGCAGAAGAGGAAGGCGAGAGAGGCCAAACGTATGGAAAGACTATTCAGGCTTGCCCGAGTCACGGATGTCCTGATGTCTGTCTCCGTAGGATGTGGCCCACACCAGTTCGCATTCACCTTCTTGGCAGCAAGGCAGCTGCTTAGCAGACAATGGGCGCTCCAGTGAGCGGGGTTTATAAAAACCTGAAGCCCCTGTTCATGATGGAGCCCCCCTTTCCAGCTGAGCGAGCTCAGAGATTTCCTGGGTAGGTTTTCCAGGCGCTGCCTCACTGAAGGAATTTTAGGAGTGTCTCTGGGGAACAGGAGGGATGTAATCCAGCCCCAACTTGAGGGCGCTAGAGGTGCGGCAAGGGGTCGCGGCGCCAGAAGCCCGGGGCTCGGCGGGAAGGTGGGAGAAGCTCCTACGTGAACTCCACAAGCCGGGCCCGGGAGACGCCGGGCAAGGCGGGGTTGACCTCAGCAGTCTCTACCACGTTCCAGCCAATCAGTCCCGCATCTTGGCATCCGAATCTAGGACCCCCGAAGCCGGAGGCGACGCGAGCCAATGAGGAGTGGACCGGGGAAGAGGGACAGGCGGCCAGCCTATGGG